TCTGAGGAACAGCTGATCCCTGTCAGCCCAGAATACTAATGTGACACCCATAGCAGGCTAAACAGCTTCAGTACCTACTGTACAGCTGAAAATGGCTTTCTGAGTAACTTTCAAGACTTGTATTGATTATGAAACTTGTTTTTCAAGGGCCTCCATGAAAAATAAAACCAAAATAAGATCATACTGTCTTCTTTGCTTCTGTTAAATAAAAGAATACTGACTAGTAGCACGGCAATAATTCCACGTTTGGAATTGTAAGATCATAGATGTTTCCTTTTTTAAAAGATGCGGGTTTTCCACTGAAATCTACATCAGTTTTATTTGATTTGTATGCAATAAAAATAACAAAATAACAAAAAACAATTCCATTTAAAAACATACAGTAGACTGAATTAAATTGTTTAAATTGTCATGAAACACAGAACCTAAAGTAGGTACAGTACTTGGCTGTCAGTTGCATTTAGTAGACTGGGTAACGATTGGGTAACACATGCGTTACATCAAAATGTCTAATTTTAGAAATAAGCTGAGGTGTATTGATTGGAATAAAATTTTGTTTAATGAAGGTTACAGCATTCAAGCAAGAATAGTTTTTAAAATAATATTAAGAGAATCGATAAAAGTCATGTTTCTAAAAAGAGATAAAATGCGATTAAAGATTCCCAAAAAGTTTAAAAAATCTTTAATGAGATTTTCTCAAAAACTAATTCAAAATGAATGTAATTATCAGATCATCACTATCAGATTTCTGAGGTCTTGTGTAGTACTTTTGCAATTAGCTGCATTTGTTATTACCGAAGGAAATAAGTACATTGAAGCAGAGAAATAATTATGCATGAAAAGTTACAGAGCTGCTTTCAGATAAAAATCAAAACATAACTATTGTTACAAGTTGTGCCCTAGACTGTGTTTACAAAATGCTAATTTTTAAACAGTATGTAAGTGGCCCACTCACTGACTGCTAGTTTGCATGCAAAGCATAATCTAAGTTTGTGCAATGAGGAATTGCTTTCTCTGTAATCAGACTTTGGCTTGCTGCACCTTTTAAAGAAAAATGTTGACAGGAATATTGTACAAATAATCTACATTCATAGTATGAGAAAGTGTACACTTTTCTTTGAACTTAAAAGGCTCAGACAACATTGTTGGATGAAAGACAAGGAAAATGGGTTGCCTTCATCATAAAAGTAATGGCTTTTGTTGCTGAGAATCGAGACATTTTATCTGGAAATCATAAAATTTTTACCCTTGATTAAGCTGTATTTTCAAATGCTTGCTTTCTTGTCTATTGTTGTTTCCAGCTCTAAGACTGTAATGATGTAAATGCTGCAGGTGTTAGTAATCCAAATAGTAGATTAATGAAGGACCAAGTTGACTTCTGTTTTTAAACAATCTAAAAACAATTCATTAGCAGAATTACTGCAATTTGAATTTGGTTGTCAAATTTATCATTATAATTAAAAATATCACATATAGAAACAGTCTGATGTGTTCACTGTAAATATACACTTCTTTCTTTATCCTTGAGTAGAAAGGCAGTCTTTAATGTTCATAAAAGTCCTTGAACGTGAAGAAATGTTTATATCGCTGTCATAAAACACATTCCTGTTAGATTTAAGAATTTCCTTAACTTGATATTTCAGGATTCTGAATGATGTTGTTTTATTGTATTTAGAGTAAGTTTAATTTATCTTTCACACATAACAGCATTGTATTATTTATTAGAGATCATTAACTCCTTAGGAGAAGTTATGAACTGGACTGTATCATTTATTTAATTAAATCATTTTTTGGGTTTGTAGAAATGTTGTGGATGTTCTTGGAACAGATATTTACTCACATTAACAAAAAGCTATTGGTTTGCTGGTCATTGTAAGTCCAAGACACCACCCAGCACTAAATAAACAAATCTTTTGAAAGTATCTTTAACACTGCCAAGACCAGTCTAGGAATCTAATACATGTTCATGTATTTGTGTAAATATAAACAAGTTTTATTTAAGAAAACATCACTGATCTTCTCAGTTAGTTCATAGTATTATAGCCTTTTAATAAGGAAGAGCATCATAAAACCCAACAAAAACATTGCAGTTGAATATCTGAATATCTATTCAGGTTGGATCTTCATGTCTTTCATCAGTATATTTTGTTTTTAATTGCTCAGTTAATCAATTCATTTGTCATTTTTCAGCCTTTTGCAGTTCTTGCCTTATTTAAAATTTAAAACACTTTAAATATCTAAAAAGGCCCAATTCTAAATGTTTTCCTGGCTGTCTTTATAATGCTTCTATTTACTCTTACAATTGCTAATGGGAAACTTTGGCTGCATTTCCAGTTTTGTAATTTTGCCCTTTTGTAATGTTTTCTTTTTTCATTTTGAAATATTCCACTGCAGGCAATAGGTCACTCATTCCTTGTTAGTAAACATAGCTAGGAAAATCTGAACGGAGGATTTAAAAGTTGTATTCATACTTCATGCTGGTTTCATCAAAAGCTGCCTTGCGTGTCTCCTTATGTGTTGTGCGTGCAGTTGTCAGCCACATCTGTGTGTATCAATTTCCCCACTTTTTAGCGCCAATTGTTACGCAAGCCTCTTTTCCATCCCCAGAAGAGATGGATTCTGTCACGCCATCCTTTTGTTTGGGAGCAGACAGTTTGCAAGATACTGTATAAGGAGATGGTGGCAGTCTTTAAGCCTTTTGATGTGGGTTTTGTAGCTGTGTGTTCATTTGTACAATTGTACTGTTTCCACATACACACAAATTGAATCCATCCTTAATCACTTCAGGTAAGCAGTTTTAGTACAATACGTAGTGTGACAGTGTTACAACAGCAATATCTGAAAAATTGTTCTTCTGCTTTTAAATATCCTTTCTCATCCTATAGTTTATTTCACACTGTGGACTACAGTACTGCATGTAGGATGGAATTATCCTCTTTAAAGCCTTTAACGTTTATAAAACAATCGAAACATGAAAAGACATGTTATTCAGAGAGGATGATCCAAAGATGAACCCAGTTATTATGAAGAACATTTAACCTCCTTGCTTTCCTTTTATGGCACAATAGCTGAAGCACATGCTTACCAAGGTTTGACATTGTTTCCTTTATTCAGTACCTTGAACTAGTGGTGAAGTTAATATAAAATTCAAAATTAAACAGCTGCTTGAAACATTTTTCTCCTTTCTGTAAAATGATCAAGTTACAGTGAATTTGCCTATTTTACTATTTATGTCTTAGTCATGCTGTCCCCAAAATGTCCTGATTGCCATGGTTAAAAAAAAGACCCACATTATGACACATGTTCAGAAAGTTTCCATGGAATTTTTAGGCATATCTCATCAGAATGGCTTTTCTGTAACCACTGCTCAATTCCTGCTGAGTTCTCTGTGGGCAGCTCAAGCAAAGTTAACCACTGGGTCCTACCCAGGGTAAAAGAACACAAGAACAAAACTGTGACGTGACTAAGGATCAGACAAAATGTAATATAGCTGTCATAACTAATTTTCAAGTTTAGTGTTTTGCTTTATCACTATTTGATTTGGTGGTTTACTGGTTATGAATCTTTTTTATAGTTGTATTTTCTTTAAAAGTACAAAATACCAGTATTATTCTTCACAGATTTAAAGAAAAACTAAGTAACAAAAACTGTATTATTATTTATACAGTATATTAAAACTGCAATCTAAATCTCACTGTTATGGCTGTTGTCAGTATTTCAACTTGGAAGTGCGCATGCTAGAAAAACAAGAATAAAATAAAGTACACTGTTCAAATATTTAACACCTTGAATTGTTTATAAGGTTTAACTTCAGTTTTCAATTTCAGTTTTGAAATCATAGGAAAGATTAATGTTGTTATTTGGAAAGAACAGGTGTTGTATACTTAATAGGTGTTCAGGAGTATGTCCAGACAGCAGCAACATCTGTCTAGATTAATGCAATATACAGTAAGACATACTCGTAACTGGCTGACCACACCAAAACTGTTGTTGAACATTGTCATATAGATGCTTACAATGAGGTTGGGATAATTGCTTTTGGACACCCATGAATCTTTTAATACAAAACAGTCATGTCTTGTCGTAGTTATTTTCTATTCACAGTGCATGTGGTATGTTCCCATAAAACTGCGACATAAACACCCTTAATATCTTTCACTGTTGGATATCTAATGTACCTTAGTAAACAAGTGTCATCAATAAAAAATAGATTATGTGAGATGAATCAGTGCAGATTTGCTCATAGAAATCTAGCACTTTTTAATTCAAGACCGATTTGTATACAGTACTTTGTTTCAGTCTTTGTTTAGTGTGGGAATTCACTTTGCCAAGTGTGACACCTGGTTTCTTTTATTTCTGTCATTTTGGATGTCTGTGCTCTTTTAACTGCAATGGATTACCTGTTAACTAATGATGTTGTTGGGAATATAGTATGAAAACAATATATGGGCAGCGACTGAACGTTGAAAGGGGTCATTATTGGATTGAAAATAATCACAAAATAATAAAAAAAACAATAATGACTCTCCGATGAGGTCAGAAAATATTTTTAGTCAAAGTGCTGTAAAATTCAAGTAAAAGAAGACCTGGAAAGCAACCCTAGGACTGGCCCCAGGGAATGATCTTAAATCTTTTCTGCACTTCTGCACTTTTCTGTTCTCGGTTTAGTCTTTTGGAAATTAAGACTGAATATGCCTAAAAACGTAATTAAAATTTCCAAATAAAAACTGCTAAGTTATCTAGTAGTTAAAAGTGTCATAATTTTGTTCTATGAGATCTGTGCAGCTAATGTTGAGATATTGATGAAAATTATTGGAAAACTTGGTAAGCCTGGATTGTTGTAGTTAAATATCTTACATTTATCATATGTTTAAGCATCTTACTTTTCAACAGCTTTATCTATATATTTATTGGATACAGATTGTGCAGGAAAGTGAATTTAAAGCAGAATTTAATTTAAAAAAACATGTTAATTTCATGGAAGAAAACAAGATACTTACTGTAGCAGTTGGTATCATCTTGTGTTCCATTAATTCTGCCAGCTTCATCAATTGTTAGAAACCACTGTGTTCTGCTGAAAAGTTGTCTGACTCGTACATCCCCTCCCTCCATATAGTCATAATTTCTTGTGTGCCGTTCATGTTTGGAGCAGTTCATAATTGCAGCCAGTTGCTCTGGAGTTCTGTCATTGCAAGCTAAACACACACTGCCCACTAGAAGGATAAAGAGTAAGTACAGTCCAGAGGGCAAAGTTGGCAGGTTCCATTTCAGCATCCATTTGCGCATTATAATGCAGTGTTCTGGGTATTCACGAACAACATACTGAAATAGAAATTAAAATGCAGATTGTTGCTGCTAGGTCCTGGACCTGACCTCTCGTCTGCACACAGGAGGTCTTCAGGACTTCTACTGGTGAATATTGTGTCAAGAAATGCTTTTGCCTTACTGAACGCCAAGAAGGTAGTTTTCTATAGTCCTCTTTTGTATATTTTAATTGCAGATTCAGACAACACAGAGCAATGCATTCTGCAGTACATATCGTTGGTGTTTGTGGTGACAGTCTTTTCAATATCAGAGCTGTAAAAAAAAAGAGCAGTTTTTACAAAGAATTATGGTCAGTCTTGTATCAGTATTACATCTGCAACCCCTGACCCAGAGGTCAGTCAGTATCTGAGACAATTCTCTATAAGAAAAAAATTAAAATGATATGTTGCATATTGTTGTTACATGCATTGTAGTTTCTGTACCTCTGTAGAAGCTGAAATTAATGAGTTGTTCATTTGATGTCTAAGCAGCATTTGATGTAAATTAGTAAGCATTTATCCTAACTTTAGTGCAAAAATCAATATTAAACATTTGCTTTAGGCTTTCCTTTATTTGCTCACCTCATAGTTGCAGTCATGCCTTTATAATCATTGACACTTTTGCGGCTAACCAAACACTTTCCGGAGAACTGCCCACAATTTCTCTCATTTAGTTGTCTGGACAGACTGGAGACTGGAGACTTTCAGTACCACCTCCTTGTCAGCTTTACACATGTAGAGCATACTAGAGCATGTCTGAAAAGCAACCACTTTCTTCCCATTGGTACCATTTAAATACAAAATTTAATCTGACAGCTGGAAACTGTGCAGAGAAAATCACAAAATTGTGTCATAATTTAACTTGCATACTTACTTTTGTTTTCAGGCAACAGCAGCAAATACCGCAAGTATCCTTTTTTCTCTTATTTTGCAATTCAAAAACAGTCTGAATCCAAACTTGCTCCTAACTTAGAAGAGGCTCCTTCAGGTTCAGAATTGTTCCCATGTATCAAGTGCTGACCCAAGAGGGGCTTTTCTGAGCATCTTCTCTCTGTTGTTATTCAGTGTACTTAGATAAATGCCTTTTGCTGACCTCACTTGAAAGCAATTAGATCTTAGCCAGTCAGCTGTCACTTGGATGCAGGATAGAAAAAAAAAAACTCAGTTTCTTTTTGTCAGACTTCCAGTGGTCATCAGAGGGAGCTATAAACTTGAAGAATAGCTTAAACTCCCATGGTGTGCATCAAAGTGTATTTCATTCACTTCTGAGACAGAAACTTGATGCCTTTCAAGCACACATTTAATTCAGTTGTATTTTCTAATTACCTTGTACCTCTACAGTAAGGTCGCGCATTTCAAAAGAAATTTGTTGGCAGTTATTTAAAGCAAAAGTAAAAATATACAAGTCGCTGAAACCATGATCTCGGAAATGAAATAACTCGTGTTAAGGGGATCATTTACAGTATATATCCAATATTCACACATTCCAAACAAATGTTTCAGAAGACTGCAGTTTTACTAGATTTGTTGATTCGTGGTGCACTTCGAGAACCGGAGAGATCTGTTGAGCTTGGGAAAAGAGGTGCTTGGTGTGGATTACAAGCTGTTTGCACGCACCTTGCAATTGCTCCAATTTGAAAGCTGATTGAAAACGCAATCAGGTGCAGTAATCTTCACAACAAAGCATACCACAGTGCTGCAGAGAAGAGTATAGAGGATTTATCTACTACAAGTCATAATTTCTCAGAGGTAACTGTTCTTTGAATGTTGTGCTTGTACTTAAACCCAGGATTTACAGTTTTAAACACCCGGACTTTTCTTGCACTCAACACTTCAGAAGTTTACATTGCACTTAATGATCTATTCCCTTAGGGAGGAGAACAAAGAGCATGCTGGCAACAGTTTGAGAACCTTTTGGATTGCAGACAAGCCTGCTTTTCTTAAATTAGTCAGCAGTTATCAACACCTGATGTGTTTAGATAGACAGATAAATCATAACTAGATTATTTCTAACAAGATCCACGAGGGCTGGTTTAAGGTCTGTTGGTTGTTTCTGTTTGTATCACCTAGGTCTGTGTTGATTAAGCAGTACCTCAAAGCGTATTTTAATTTTGAAGACAGCTTTTGGTAAGATACACCACATGTTTGAAATACATTGTATTTTTTAAGTTTTGCGATGCAGGATTATCAGGAAATAAGTGAATATCAATTAATGAATCATTTTAATAGGCTTTTACAGCATGACAGTTACATAACATATTTCTTACTAATGAAGTCATAGTAATGAACTTTTGAGAAATAGCTACCGAGTACAAAACAAGAATGTAGTCAATATATTTGTCATGGTATTATCTTTCAAATGTAACAGGATGTAAGTGTTGAATCAGAACATTAAAAAATGCATCATTTTGAAAGGTGTAAACGTTACCTACATAAAGCACTAAAAGTTATTTTAAACAATCCACATTTCAAGCCTTTTCTTGTGATGCAAGCCAAGAAAGCAACAGACTTCAATTGCTCTTGTATATAAAAGCTCTTCTGAACTTTCTTCCACTGGCGTAATTTATTTAGTGATATTTTCCCATTAAGTAAATATTTGTACAGAGTCTTAAAGGAATGGCAGAAGAGCCTTGTATTTTGACACTTTTATATGCGTTTTCTAAGAGATTTCGAAACTGGCACCAATAATATACGTAAGCTATCGAAATAAGGACCTATCAATGTCTGTCTCAATGACAATTTGCTTGTAGTTTATCTTACAGAGAATATTTCTGTGATTCAATTAAATGAAATAATGATTAAATAATCTAATGAAGTAGCTGGCACTCTGACATAAAATACTTTTAAGCTGGTAGCTTGTAGTTTTATGTATACGTACTGATCACCACTGTCCATGAACTGGACATTTTTTAAATAATAGGGAGGTAGAAGTGACTCACCCCTCTGGGCAGGTTAATTAAAAGGTTAAAAGGACCGTGTAAGTGATCACAGCTGTGTCAGACACTCACAAGGGACACAGTGTGGGTTTGGAGAGTCAGGGGTCCTGTCGGAAACATCCTAAATTTTGATCTGAAAAATACCTTGCAACTTCTAAGGTACAAAAATGTAAATAAATGTTGGTTTTATTATGCTTTATTCTTGTGGTGCAAAAAAGCATGTCTTCAATTTCTGCTTCATTGGTATCAAATATTTATGTGGTTGTTTCAAGCAACCTATAACTTGAACAAATAAAGATTAGTTGTCTTCAAAACTAACTTCAATTATTTCTTCTAGAATATCTCAGTATTCTAAACTGATGTTTAGGATTGTGAAGACTAGGGTGATGGAGCATATTTAAGGAGAGGAACTCAACCTCCGTCGGTTCTTTCATAAACAAAGTAGCATGTTGTTGTTTAATTTCTCATTTGGTTGTGATGCCTTTTGATAGTTTGTGAGGATGTTCCATTTTAAGCTGCTTAGCGTTTAGAGGAAAAGTGTGCCTACTTAGTGCCAGATGGCAATTGTCACACAGGTTGTTTAAGTTTATTGTTTCAAATTGTTGCATGTTGCAAGCAGATCAAAGAGCACTTGGTAAAGAGAACCAAATTACAAGTGATTAAAGTTTACAGTAGCAGAGGAAGCCCTGAGCCTGGAGGCATGCAGACCCTGCGTGAGTACACCTCTTTAATTTCTCCCAGTCTTTTTGTTTTATGGCAAATTGATTATTGACAAGAGCTTGGGAACTCCGGAAATTATTTGCACATTTTGAAAAGGTTTCAGACAATAAAGCTATACCTGTTATTTTAATGGACTACCATTGTTAAATCTGACACAGTTATTACAATATGAGAACACTAACATTATTGCAATGGGACACGCAAACATGCCCAGCACTAAGTAGAGTAGTTTAAACTGAGCCAATATAGTTTCAAAACAGTTTTTACATTAGGGTGCTGTGCACAACTAGAGTGTTCTCTAACTTTAACTCTATTTACATGTACTAAGACATGTAAATACTTAGTACATTTTCATGTACTTGTACTTAGACAAAGTATTGAGCATTTTTTGTCATTTAAAGATTAAGGAATAAATAGCTCATTTTAAACAGAAATTATTGAATTTAAAACAGATTACTACTAAAAGCATTACTATGATTAAGATCTGTCTCCGTGTAACTGCTGTCTGTCATAGTGATGATAAATATTCTGGGTTAAGCTTAGTAAGGTGATCAATTTGCTGGTAGGTAAATACTTAGAGCATTTATTCTATAAAACTAATCCAAAGTTTCATCATGCAAAACCAAAAGGTTTTAATCCTTGTGCCATGGAAAGGAATCACATCTGTCCACTTCAAGAAAAGTAATAGTAAAAGTGTTTAAAGGCAAATAGAAAGTGTACTAGAAATGTTATAAGTCATCATCAAGAATTCCTATGAGGATAGTTTCTAGTATTCCATGCTATTAAAACTAAAATTGCTTAGTAAGTTAAATAACAATGAATAAACAAAGTGTCCTAGGAAAGATTCTAGATGTTCATAATAGTTCTATTATAATCGGTTCTAATCATAATTTGTTCTATTATAGGATAGGAAATAAAACTTAAATACGTAAATCTTTACCTGCAATATTGTATGGGCTTTACTAATATGTAATTTCTTTGCTTGGTTTTTATCAATCAACTCTATTATTTTGATCTGGCTTACAAATGAGTGCTTATACACTGACAAAATTCACTCCATATGCTAAACAAGTACTTTAACACAATAAAGTCAAATTAAATCACTGTTCTCTTAAAAGATTTCGTAAAAGGAAACATTGCAGTTGGTAACATTTTACTGTTTAATAAACACTCACTCTGTTGTGATGTAAGTTTATACAGCTATGCTTTCATTTAAATAATGGACTGTGTTTAAGGTCAAACTATTATTAGACATTGGGTTTAGCTGGAGTTGGACTATGCTGGTGAAGGCGCTTGAGCTTCTGAATTCCATAATAATTGAACTGCTTAGGGAGCAGATGCCTTTCTACATTTGTCTATGTACTGTATAAGCACATTGCATGCCAAATACAAATGCATTGTCTTTTTGGCCTGGAAATGTTTTTAAGAAAATATTGATATATATATATACATATTCACAATTTAGAAGACCAAGGAAAATGTAGCTTTTAGAGTTATTTGATGGGTGTGAAGGTCTTTTCCTGAAAAGAAGATGGTGTCTATATGAACTTCCCTTTCATCATCAACATTGTCAGTACACAAAGGTAAGGGCTGGGTATGAAAATGTAAGTTTCCTATCAACCTGTCTGTTGTATTTTAGCTGTTCAGTGCACAGACTAAAATTTTAAGAAAACAGTTTATGGTCATGAAGGCTAACATGACAAATATACACACAATGTTTGTTTCTAAAGTAACTGTCTAGTATGGAATATAATTGTATACAATATTAAAAAGAAACCATTTCAAAGTAATTGTGAAAAAAACACTGTGATGTTTATTTCAATAACAAATGGCAGTTTATTTTTTAATCTTCCAGAAAACTAAGTGACTTACATATAACTGAGAATCTACTGTAATTGATCTTGTTCTTAGGGTCATTTTAGTGTAGTATTTCCAGGCAATTTAAATTGTACTTATTTGAGGCAACAGGGTTTAATTGATGAGATCTGTTTTAAACAGTAGTCTTCAAAGAAGGGACCTCATTTTCAGCCACTGGTTGCTTTACCTTACAGCACAGGGCTGTTTGAGAAACTGGCTTTTCCTGACTAATGAAGTTTGCTCTTTGAAGCTGCTCTTCCTTGATCCCAGCAGAAGTATGTGTTAATGCAACAAAAGGTGACGGATTCTTACAGTTCACCAACAGGAATGAGGTGTGAAACGTCTGTCAGCACTGAAGCGTTTTCTGCTGTTGTGCCTGTTTCTCTCATGCAAGGCAGAATTATGCCTTGGCTTTTTTTTCAGCCTCTGATTTCAGATTTGAATCTTAAATAATTTATTTTTCAATTTATTTTAGGTATGGGTAATTAAACATTGCTTTATAAGACAAGAATTATTACACCATGTGACCAGCTTGTGTTTCACCCATGTATTTCATTGTGTGTTTTTCCAGATTCACTAACATAGTTGAGCTGAAAATATTTGCTTTCCTCAAACACTGTGACATTTCATCTTGTTTTAATATGAACACCGAACAACAATATGAACACCGAACAACAAAGGAAAAAATCGTATTGAGTTAAGTTTAAAAATTAATTTTATCAGCACATATTAAAGACAATGGCTCCTTTTAACGACATTTGAGTCAGAAAGATTATTTCTGACATTTCAGAAAAACTACTTGGACATTAAAGATCCTATAGCAAAGTTTGTAAAGGTAGAGGCATTAACCCTGGTGTCCTGACTTAAATCCACACTGAGTGTATGGAATCTGGCCTCCCTAAATGTTCTCCTTTATTCAACTGCTTAAGTAATTTCCACCTTCCCCACCTGATCTGCTGTGTGGTGGGGCTGCTGGTACAGAGTGCACTTTACTGGACGATGAAGTGGGTCCCCCCTTGGTTGTAGAAGCCTCAGGGATGAAGAGTGCCTTACAAATTCAAGGAAGATTCTTCTGAATAAGAATAAGAACGCCCCCCCCCCCACACACACACACACATTTATTTTATCAGAGGGTTAAATATCGACTCCTACCTCCTCAAAGGAATAAGTGTTCCTAATTTAAGAATTTTAGATAAATAGTGTAGTGTAGTGTATTAGAATAATTGCAATTAGAAGTGTATGGTTCTTAAACTACTCAGAGTTATGATAAAGTATTTTACATCATATTCAATCTTGTTTAATTATGACTGATTGAACGTGTACAAAAAATGTAGATAAACATCGTAGAAAACGGCAACCAGGTCATTTATAGATACGGTTATTTGCATACAACTCTTGTCCAATCATGTCACTTTGTGTTTTATTACATGTTTTTAAAGTGACAATTATAATCAACATGAATGCTCAAACCAAACATGTGAAATACGTTAATTGCAATAAAAATTCAAAAACTAATTCAGGATTCAAAAACTCATTCATGTTGGTTGCATAAATGGTCTCCAACTTTGCTACCTCAAACTTAATCTTGTTCAGGTACACAAAATTACTTTCAAATGTCAGACAATTAGTTGGATGGCTCAAGTATGCATGGAATACTAGTGGTTCACATGATCTCAGAATAAATACATATCTCAGTAACGTTCCCCAGTCGGTTATTGAATTTCAAGCCAAAAGATTTAACCATTAAACCAAGATCTTCCAGAAATAAAGAAGATGTCATTTGTTTCCTTTTAAGTGTTATTTTGTCTTCTTTGTATTGTTTGTTATTGTCTGCCATTTTGTGTGGGGTTACAGACTGCCTGGGATGAAATGGAGTTTTGCCCTGCCCTTTAGGGGATGCTGGAGATGGAGCTTCGAGTTTATTTATGGGTACTTGTGCTCCTGGCAGTCAGTCTATTCTTGTTCTTGGGTCTGAACCACTTCCTAATGGTTAGCAAACTGGTAGTGAGAATTGTCTTATTAAAAAAAAAATCATTATATTTTTAAATTAATTTCTTATGGAAATCTTTTGAACTTTCTGGAGCTATGACAGGCAAGGTTATCACATGTAGAAAGCCAAAAACCATATAAAGACAAAATTGCTATCTATCAACAATCTCTAACCACCTTTATAGATCTTGAGCAAGTTTGCAACAAAGAATAGGTGAACATTGTACCAATCCAGTGGGAAAAGTTGGTAGAGACTCTTCTAAAGACTTGCAGTTCTGCTTTTTCAAAGCTGCTACCAGCAAGTATTGAGTCAAGCGGGTGGGAAATCTACATGGAAATAATTACTGTAGCAAAATAAAATTTGGATTCTGCATAAACTACATTGCAGTGATGTGTTAGATGCTATTTATTGTTATAATAATGTTCTTCATTCAATGTTCAAATTATTTTGCTTGCCAAAGCAATTGCTCTGAAAACATTTCATATTTAATTTGCTTAGTTATAGTTATTTTTGTAAGCATTTAACTTCACAATTAAAACAACTTTGTTTTAAAAGCCATCTAAGTGTTTTAGATAAAAGACCCTGTGCTTTTTAGGTATTAAACCTAAACAGGCCCACTGCAATAATTTAAGATTTGGTTTAGTTATAATGATTAATATACTATGATCTATTTTACATCATTCTATGGAATATGAAACACGAATTAGCACTATCACAAAATGAGGCTGTGCTAGCAGGTAAATGTCATTCTAGGGATAACAGAAGAAAACAAAAAAGATTAACCCTCTATATTACATTAAATATTTTCCTAAATGTTACATCAGTGAGACCGAGATCTTAACCACAATAAAAAAATAAATAATAATAATAAAAGTTTTTTAGCTATGTTACATAGACTAGGAAGAGAATATCTAAATATGTGTTCAATATAAAGAAACCTAGCCAGGAAGAGGACTTTGAACTTTCACAGCCTTTCCTGTATAAAAACAATGTATTACAAAACTTTCCAAAGTGTGAAGTCTGTCATACTGGCACATAAAATGGACTGAATTCCTTAGGTAATTTCAATAGGGTCACTGATAATGTTAAAATACCAACATGTTAGCCAAATTAGATTTTAGGCTACAGCTGGGAATAGCCAAAGACTATTTCTTTAATTCCTGACAAGCTGCTTTTACAAAAAGAAACATCAACTTTATTGTTATTTTTGGCACTGTATATTTTTCTCTTTCCAATGAAAGTGGCAATCCTATTTTATTTAGTATGGAGTCACGAGAACCACCTTAATTAAAAACAGTTCTGGTTTCATGCACTTCAAGAAACTAAATTAACTGTGATCTAATGAGGTTCTGTCCAGACTATGAACATACAGTCAGTTCTTCAGTGGCTAGGGACTTTATAGATCCTAGATAATGCACTGGCAGCTGTGTGGGATCATTTTCTTAACTGTTGTTGCTAAACGCTAATGTCTGTTGATATGCTGTATTTAAGAAACAGTGCCTTTCCTGAAATAAACGTGGAGGTGCTTTAGTGGTATTAAAAAAATGATCTGAAAATAAACCAGGAAAATTCTAATCCGCGATGACTCTATACTTTAAACTATTCATTTAATTTGGTTTTGTTGTTCTTAGATATGTACTATACATATTATAAAAGACACTTTCAAGCCTCATTTAAATGAGATATGGGTTTATGAGTTTTTAATTTAAAAGATTAATTGTAGAGGTCACCTCTTGTGTTTGTCTCTGATATCCGCAGTGAGGTTAACTGGTGGTATCAGTTAACTTGTCATAGCTCCCTTTAACTTTGACAGCAGCTGTGCCACCTTGTAGTCTAATCTCATCAGATCTGAGAAAATGAGCAAAGCTTGGCCGGGTCAGTAATCAGTAGATGGCACTCCTCACTCTGGAGCAGAAATTCTATTAGCAGTGCCCCAATATGGTGACTGGCGAACTATGCTATATAGTATGGGATATGATTTAACATACTTTAAGAAATTAAATTATGATCTAATGATGCTCTTGCTTTATAACATTGGTCTGTAGAAACCCACACTGGCACTCTGGTACAGTCTTGTACTTGACTAATTTGTCATTAAAGATCCCTTGAAACTTTAAAAAATAAAGATATCACCCCCACTGTATTCATCTGTGGGCTTGAGCAGTCTTTCCTCCTAAATTTTCAAGTTTTCAACCTGATCTGCTGTGCATTGGGGCTGCTGTGCATCACCCAGGTGGGGCTGCACTTCTGTGGTGGATGAAGTGGGTCCTCTCCCATGTATAAAGAATTGTGGGATCCTTTGGGATGAAAAGTGTTAAACAAACACAGGGTTGTAATTAAATGGATATAATTTGAGCCCTACAAAAACATATAATTGCTTCCTTGTATATATCCACTGCCACCAGAGCAGCACTGCATTGCTGACATTTTTCAGGGAAACTGGTGGTAACAATAAATAATTAATTGAAAACAAAATCTGTTTCCATGTTACGACAGGTTATGAATGCATCAAGACTAATAGGATCGCAGGATTTACAGAACTCTGAAGGCACAGTCTCTTTTCTTATGGAAATTGTTGATTTTGGACATTGTGTATTTAAGCAAGCAAAGACATATGGACAGATACATGGACAGATACATTGTATGTGTCTATGCAAGAAGTTGAATTATATAGACAATCAGTTTCACGCTGAAATCTTTGGAGCCTTCTTTAGGTTCAACAGCCTCTATTGGTTCTGTTTCAACTTATGTTTGTCCTCTTTTCCCCTTTGGAGAGCTTGAGTTTTCGGCTTAGCTTGAAATTCTGAAGTATACTGTACATTGTGCGTGTGTTCACAGATGTTATAGCCCTGAAGAGCATTAGGAGTTTGCTCTTTTGTCAGTAAACCATCCTTCTCCCTCTTCCAGTCCAGCAGCATGTTTTTAAACCTGTAATTGTTCAGAAGCCATAGCTGAACTTTTTTGATTGAAGATGGTGTTTTTGTCACATGTATTTCTTTATGCCCTGAAGGAAGCGGTCTGCCACTAAGCCTAAAAAAAACTTCTTGTGATCAGTTATTTATTATCAATTGTATCCTGGTTCTACATTTGTAAGGGAGGACTACATACAGTAGATTTTAATTTTCCAAATTTCATCAAGACATAATACTGTCAAAACGCTACAACAAGGCATTGCAAAGTTTGTGTGAATGTGGAGAACCAGTGGAATAAATATAACAACATTTCTATATAAATCTATTTAGTAATGTATGCAGTATGAATGTATTTACCAATAAAAGTGTCTCTCGCTCTGTTTCTTTATTATATGTTACAGGGACACAATGTCAGATGGCCTTTAACCTTGAAGAATTAATAAAGAATAAAAGGAAGATAAGTGTTGTGCAGACAGTGCCTTTTGCTGCCAAGAGAGAAAGTGGTGCTACAACAGATGTCAAGACAGGGGTCTTTGCAAGGAAATGGAGAGAGGTTGGAATTGTGCTTGCTTTTGACCTTCTACACATGGTTTAGTTATTCAATGCTTACGCGTTTTGCATGCATGATGAAATATACTGATGATGTTCACTTTGTTTCTGTTGCAACATGAGAGTAGTTTTAAATCAGTTAAAGGCCTTTGGGACTACCCGGGAGTGTTAGTACTCTCGAGTGCTGTTTGGATCCTGATACCTCATTGATTCTGCTCCTGAGGGTTTTGCTTCATATTTCCCAGTTTCATGGTGTAGCCCTGTTTAATCAAGCTTCCATGCTTGGGAAAGCCTTAATTCAGCACAGATGAATCTAATCACTTGATACATTTTACTTACCATAACCAGACATCACACAAATACAGAGGGTCATAAAGTTTTGATGATTTGTAATTGACCCAACCCTAAGAAACCATGAAAAAAATTGTAATTTACGGCATAAAAAGTCAAGAACATACCCTCTTGACATGTTCAGAGGCAATGGCATGTATCAGTGACTCACTGTGGTTTCTACAGCAAATCTGAATAATGCGTTACTAGATTTTGTCTAACCTGCTATTACATAACATTGCGGTTATTTGTGTGGCAGCTTTGCAATTCATGCAGAACCTATGACAATAGCATTTCTGAACACATAAAATGTGTCTTTTTATAAAAGCATTTTGGGTTGTTAATATACCTGTTTAACTAATTACATTATTTCTCTCTAGGAAAGAAAAGCCAGCCATTAAATATCCAGGCGGTATTTATTATGCACTTATAGTACATAGTATTTTAATGTAATTAAAATTGTCACATCTGTTTTGATTTGAGTAAAATGAGATAACAGACTCCTTAAAATTGGACATACTGTGTAATCACTCATGCGAACTGTAAATTAGGATTCTTTTCTTTCGTGTTTTTTAGTCTCATTCCATCGGTCCTAATCCAGAGTCGGAACATGTGCCATTCATGCCTGGTGGTCAGAGCCCCCTGGTAGCCCGCTACCTTCAGCTGCACGGAATCCCCCACACCGTGGGGGGACAGCACGTGAAGCGCACAGAAATACGCAAGTTACCATATCCTTCCAAAAGCTCCACCATACTGCTTAAAAATGTCTATGCCACACAAACCACCAACACAAAGAAGTCGAAAAATACGTGATTTTCACAATGAAGAATAACGAAGAGGGCCAGAGACGTCCTGGCAGCATCTGACTTTTTAATTGGAACACACAATTTCTCACACAAAAGTAACAAAATGTACGAGAAGGAAGTTGTTTAAAAGATTTTATCTGTATTATATTGGGTCTATAGATAATAATTTACACAAAAGACTAATGACTTTCGGAATCAGAGCTCTTCTTCATGCTTAGTTTTAACTTTCCTTTAATCTGTAATTGCTTCCAGCAGTTTTTTGGAAGAAATTATATTGAACCAAGATAAGTTTTTTTTCCCAAAGGCTTCCTATTCATGGACATCATCTTTGTTATCATCACTGTAACAATCATCTTCCTTTGCCAGATAAAATACTTCCAGATGATAGCTTAGGGGAATCCCACACTACAACTGCTTTACAGGTTATTTTACTATCCTGCAGAATGTTTGCAGCTTGTCCACTCAAAATTTATTTATGTGGCAAGAATAATTCATGTATTGTAGAATATGGTTTAGACCAATAACTAGCAGGATTGTACTTTTCTTTTTCTTTTAATGCAAATTCATACATTCTGTACTTTATTTTAAAAGGGACACATTCAAAATTCAGAAAGGAAACATTCAGAATGCCATTGCCCTGTTTGACATTAGGGGTAATTAATATTTTAAACTGCCCTCTTACTAAGGGTCTAATTAATGGTTGGGTTGAATCAGTGCTATCTGTTTTGGTGTGTCATATATTTAGGCTTTCACTGTGTGAAATAAAATGCTACCTTTTGAGCTCTACATTTCTTGTTATATATTGTTTATGGACTATTACAAAACAGTTTTAGGGTATTCAGGATGAGGCTTTTCAGATTATTATATTATTTTACAAATAACTCTCATCAGCAACAGATTGTAAATATTTTTCTTGAGCCTAAAGAGTTCAAGTTGGTATATTTTTGATATATACACCATTCTTTTCAAGAACCTATACCAGTCTTTTTTCTGAGCTCTGGTTTGTTGAAACCAACAGCTGCTTTGTAATTCCAACCTCTCAGATTTTGATTGTCTGTGACTTGTTCTGGTACATTTTGTCTAAGGTGCCCCCACAAGAAAAGATAGATGCTTTCTTTAGAAGCTGGAGAAGATGGCAGTCAAGATCAATCATGACTAAAGTGTAATTTAATCACCGTCATCAAGTGTTTGAGCTAAAGTTACACATTAGTCAGGCAGAAAAAAAAATAGTATTTCCTGTTTTAGTGGTACAAAGTACACGTTAGCACAGCACTGTGAATTTGAATAAGAATTTAGATAAGTAAAATTGTGTTGAAAACCCAGTAAATGTATTTTATTCGCACGAGAAAAAATGTTCTGAAATTCCCTAGAATTATAACTGTGCATTTTAGTCTGTCAGCAAAACATACATATATTAATATATTCATACTCATATTGGTACACCTACTTTGCTATTTTTTAAAGGAGTAATTAAAAAAAAGGAACTAAAAACAAAATCACAAGAATTTGTTTAATTCACCTTTTCACATGAATATTAAAGACTTTCAAGATATAGTGAAGTGTTTAGTGTCTCCAACTTTCAATGACCAAAACTGAAGAACAGTTCAAATATAAATGCTGCAACTGAATTTTTTGTCTACCAATAATTCTCATCAAACTATTAATACTAATTATTACACCAAACATGCAAAAATAGAGAGCAACATGTAAAAAACAGCAAGCATATACAGTAGTTATAAGAGAAATATGCTTATTATCTTTGCAAATCTTTATATGTGATAGCTTTAAGTACTATGTAGATGTCAAGGATGCTAAAATGAAATGAACAAATCTGTCCATCTGTTCTTTAACTGTATCCAAAGCACGCCACTTACGCCAACATATCAAGATATTATTGGTGAAACTCAACGATTCAGGAACAAACTTCAAAAGGATTATATTCAGTAAGTTTCAGAGGAGACACAGGGTTTTCATTTCAGAATCTTTCAGGTTCTGAAATTCTTAGGGCATTAAAGATTTTAAGTTGCGTGTAAGCGGAACTGGTGTTATATATTAATTTTAACGTATATACTGTACAGTGACTTGCAAACGTATTCTGCCCATTGCTGTGGTGTTCCACTGTGTTAAAATATAAGATGATAAATAAACATTTTTATTTTATTCAGAATCTTGATACTCGAGCTGAAGACTTCTAAGGGTGAGATAAGTTACAGTAAATGTCAGCAAAAACTGAAGAGAACAAACTGAAATAGTGTATGTTGACTGCATTAAGTATTCAGACCCAAGAACTCAATATTTGTTGGAAGTATCTTTGACAGGAAGAGATCTTTTTGAGTAAGTCTTCCAACTTTGCTTTGTGCAATTTTTGATCATTCTTCTTGGATAATGTATTTGCCTTTACTTCATTTTCCCTTTGGTAATAACAAGCTTTCCTGTCCCTCTTAAGGAGAAGAATCCCTATTCTTCTCCAAGGGATGAGAACCATGATGCTGCCTCCACCATGCTAGACTGTAGGGACACTATTGTTTGGGAGATCTGCCATGTTGGGTCTGTGCCAAATGCCTGGTAATTGAGATCTCTTTATTAGCCATATACAATTTCTTGCATGAGGAATTTGTCTTTTTCGCATACCACAGCTTGCTCTCCATGAGAGACACAGACACACAGATAGAGAGAAACTTGGGGTCAGAGCGTAGGGTCAGCCATTGTACAACGCCCCTGGAGCAGTTTGGGGCTAAGGGCCTTTCTCAGGAGCCCAATGGAGTAGGATTCCTCTGCCGGCTGCGGGATTTGAACCGGCAACCTTCCAGCCACAGGCGCAGATCCTTAGCCATCACTCCGCCAATTAAACCACAAAGTTCCAATTTGGCCTTTTGCATTGTTTTTGCAGGTTACTTAAGTTCTTTGCTGTAAAGGACAGTAAGTGCGAGATATGGGTTTTCCTTTTTTCCAAACAGGCCAGGATATTATTGATTGATGATTGATTTTCATTATTTCTTGTTGATTTAGATTTGCTTACAGGGAGACCTATTCAGAAACTTTGATATTTTGTAGCCTTCTCCAGATTTGTGCTTTTCAATTAATTTATCCTTGACTTGCTTGAAAGTTCCATAGTCTTCATGGCTGAGTAAAAAAATAAATATTTTTATTCTGAAATCCTGAAAACCACTATTGAGTTGTGCTCAACCAATTTTTTGGCTATAAAGGTAATTTGGGTTTGCCACAGCAAAGGGCTTGAAAACATTCAATCATTTCTTTTTAATTTTTTTCTTTCATGTAATTACATATTTACTTGTAATTTTTTATTTGAATTTTGGAGTAGGTTGTCTATATAACAAATATTAATTGGTACTTTGAAGTGTCTTAACTGCAAGCTTTAAAGCAACAAAATGTGGAAAACTCCAAGAGTCTGAATACTGTGGCAACGCATTTAATACGATGTACTGTGAATTGTAGCATTACAACTTTAGCACTTATTTTTAGGAATGGAAATAAATGGTACTACATCACAGTTTGAGATTCAAAGGTCATCTGAATGGGATGCAAAACAAAGCTGCATTGTAAAAGCTCAGGAAATTTAACACAATTTGCTTCTCTTGTAAATTACACCTGTCGGCGTCAGATATTTAATGGAACAATTCAGAAACAATATTGCCATATTATTTTATATCATGACATATAATAATATTAAGGAAGCTGTGCAAGGGAAATGGTGGAATGGTATTTTCAGTTGATTAAAATCTAAAGGTATTTAAAGAAACAAAAGCAATGGCGAAGAACTGAAGTAACTGTAAAACAACTGTCAAGTGTCAAAATAACGTGACATTTGAATACACAAATTGTTTGAATGATATATTTACAAATTGCTATGCAAGTCCTAAATTGTACTTGCTAAATTAAAATTTGACTTACTAGTTGCTATGCAAAAGAGAGTAGTTTCTATCCCTGTCAAATACCTTAATAAAAATTAGGCGATTGATAATATCACCATTAATACTTGTATAAAGAACTTATTTTGCAGTCTTATTATGATGCAAAGAACTATTATTTATTTTAAAAATATTTACTAATAGGAAATCCACAGTTACATGTAATATGCATTATTTTCTTAATATTTCAGATTATGTGAAGAAACCGAGAAGGACATTGCCGAAATACATCAAGAAGAACGTCTCCACACTTTGCAGATAAACCGGTATGACTATTAAAAATATATATGTATAATTAGTTTTTTCTAAAGAAATCACTTTATTGAAATAAGGGCAAGTTGTGCATCAATTGTTACCTGTGTGTGTGTACTGGGTGTTGTCATGATTTCTAGTGAGATCAGTGGAGTGGATCTTCAACCGCATCAAGGCTCAGAGAAATCATGTTTTGACACAGGTGTTTTAACTGATATGTCCAGTCCATTTTATACAACATAAAATTTAAGCTTTCTGTTATGTATTAAAGACAATATGAAAGATAGAGAAGCATGATACCTGATACCAGGTTAAAAAAGCATGTACAAAATATTTGCTGCATACATTTGTACAGTGGAACATAATGTCTGCAGGCATTTGTCCAACCTACAGTAAGTAATCAATTACAAAATTAACCAAATTCATTTCTTAGACACTTTTCTAAGGTGTTTTAAATTTAATTTAAGGTACAGAACAAGCCAAAAGACAATATACTAGGCGTAGCCAACACTGGTGCTGGAGAGCCACAATCTAACTTTAAATAATTTCATTTTGACAAATTAAACAGCTGATTTAAGAGCATAAGATCATAAGAAAAATTGAAAATGAGCGGGAGCCTTTCTGACCATCTTGCCAGTTTGTCAATTAGTAGCAGATTGATCAATATCGTCCAGCTGTTTCTTAAAAGAAGTCAGGGAACTGGCTTTGACAGCATGGCTGCATAGTTTGTTCCAGACTCCCACAACCCCTTTGCAAAAAGAAGTCCTTTCACTCTTCCGTTTTAAAGGCACTTCTCTGTACTTTCAGTTTGTCATCTGTTTTGTGTTTCACTGTTGATTCTGGAGAAATCCTCTGGGTTGACTTTGTCAGTGCCTTTGAGGATTTTGAATACTTAAATTAGGTCCCCTCATAGTCTTCTTGTTCAAGACTGAAAAGGTTCAGCACTTGTAACCTATTATTGTAGGACATTCCTTTGAGCTTGGTAATGTATATAGTTGCTCTAATCTGGACTGATTCCAGAGCAGCAATATCTTTCTTGAAGAACGGTGACCAGAATTGTATAAATCATTCTAAATAAAGTCTTGCTCGTGCATTTGACAGTTATATCATTACATCCCTTGATTAAAAATCTATACTTTTAACTAGTCTATCATTTTGTGTGCCTTTTGCATTGCTTCTTGCTTCTTACACTTTATCTAGAAAAGTCAATAGAAGTCCATCCAAGTGCTCATTTGATTGAAACTAAAGCACCATACAGTATCACCAAAGAGAGAATAGTACAGTAACCAGGTGTTTTTCCATTTAAAGTGATCTTTAGCAGTGTAACTTGGCAGCCATCAAAAAATCTAAGATTAAGGTTAAGCATTGACACATGAATTTGACTTTAGTATCTACACACGTTTTTATTACATAGCTCTAAAACATGCCCTTTCTTCTACAATATCTCTTTAGCTCACTGCAGTGACATGATCACATTGCTAATTACATTAATTAATTTAAAAAAATTGAAATATGACGCATGTACTGTTGTCCTTAATGTTAATTTTTTAGAAGTTGTAAATGATGTACCAACATAAACATAAAAGCCTTTTCTAGCTTTAAGTGTTTCCCATCTTGTATTTGTATTTTTTTTTTCTACCTGCATGTAAAATCCTGCACTGCAGACATCAACCATCCCTTGCATAATCTTTACTTTTAGTCTATATATTAACAAATAAACTATAAACTATAAACTATGTTCTAAATGTGTATGTTTTGCATTTTTATAGGATGAAAAGGGCAATAATGTGTAACGCTACAGAAATTAAGATCAAGAGTGAGATGCTGATTCATAAATGGGTATGTTATTTTCAGCTAACTGCATGACGCAGGCGTTTGACGTTAGACAAATAATATAAACTTACTTGAAAACAGTACATGTAAAGTTGACGTAAAATACAGCTGTGTGCAACATAAATCACTAAACCACTTCTTTTTTATTATTTCTTAATTCTCTAAGCTGGTCCTTTATTTTTAAAATCATCCATTTATATTTTATGGTAATTGCATAGTTTTTTCTTAATGTTGGTTCTTTAAAAAAAAACTGTCATCAAAAGGTTACAGTACATGACATAAACAGGCATCATTAAATCAGTTTCTACTGTTTTTCAACTGCACACATGGTTTGCATTTTCATTAGGAACACGCTGCCTTCTCCGGTAGTCGGCATCACAGAAAGGATGAGCGTGAGACTGAGGCAGAAGAGACGAAAAATGCAGACAGTGATTCTGAAGTTTCTCCAGGCGGAGGGGAAGAATAGAGTTTCAAAACTGTTATGGCACTGCTGAATTACAATTAAGCACGCCTTGTTGTTATTGCCAAATGGTTTGTGCCAGTACAAAAACAAACAAAAATAATAATAGCAATAAAAAGCAAAGAAATTTGGAATATACCCTTAGCCATATGGCAGAAATATTTTATGACAAAATCAAGTACAGTACATGTTTCTTTCTTGTTTCTTACACATTCAGCTCATTTTGTCTTTCTTTACATTCAGTCTAATTGTTTCTAATATCAAAATGCCTTCATATCATTTTTTAGTTTTTTTTTTTCAGATGTATTATTAGGCATGGTTTATTCACCACAACATTGGATTGCTAGACCACACCACGGCTTGGTTTGGTAGCTGTAGCACATTCAGTTAAGCGCACTTGATTATTGACTTATTAGGGTGAGACAGATTAAACTCTAAAGCACTGCAGAATAATGCATGGGTGACTGAAAATTAAAAAAAACCCACATTGATCAATGACAGCTCAATATGTTCTTTTTATTTAGAAAGAACCAAAGGTTTGAAAAGTATTAGTGTACAAAACATCCTTTCCTGTTATTATGTCCTAAAAAGCCTACTGTACATGTGATTTTCGTGAAGTTCCCAGTTTGAGCAATCACAAATGGACATTAAGAACCTTGGAACTTTTCTGTGTGCTGCTCATAAACTTCCAACACCATCATGATATACAAGTAGAAAAGAAAACTTTGTTTTGCAGATGCATTAAATCATACTTTTTACTTTTTTAGGCCTCCAAATAAATTGCAGCTCCTCCACCAGGCTTTGTGACAAATAAACTCTGTTTTTCCAAGGCTGCTCTCCGGGCATCAGGCTTGTAATAGGCAGATCGTACTTTCTGCAGAAAAGAATCCATCTTCTCCACTGGTACCATTGACACAACACAGCCTCCCCATCCAGCACCAGTCAGTCGAGAGCCAGCTGCACCTGACAGCCTAGACACAGGATAGGGGAGGACATTTATAATAGTGAAACAGGGGAAACTGACTCAAATCCTAAATGATCACTTCACTGGCTATCTCATCTGCATTTGCTTTGTGTCATATCTACTAAAAACATGAATCCAATGCAAGTCTAAAGAGCAGGCCATGATTATATTCTTGTCCTGTGCTCATTTTGTCATTGATCTGACAGTCCATACTCCTGTCAAATGGGGTTCATTTTAACATATGTTTATTTCAAAAGGGGATGTGATAGCAATTCTTTTCTTGATTGCCAAGTGAAGTCACAAGACCTAGATCTACACTAAGAAGGTAAAACAGAAAAACTAAGAGCTGGTCTGTGAATACATGTTCTATGGAACTGGAAGGAATATGGGACAGACCAGCTCTTTCCATTGTAAGTAAACCTCTTGACCATTGTACATTGAAATAAGGATTAGCTTATTTTTATTATGTTTAATGTGCTTTTATCAAAATAATATGTTTTTGTAATGTGTGTTCACACACATTTAAACATCCACACTTGTTTGAAGCACTAGAACCAGCATCATACTCTTTTGTACTCAGATTTAAAAAATTTTGAGCCATACAATGGCAGTGGCTGTTCCTGTTATTTGGCATTCATTTATAAAGATCTGTGGAGGATATCAAGACTTCCAGTAAAGCATCTTTTGGGAATTTTAAGGAATATCCGTTGCCTCTGCCTTATCAGGCACTGCTGTTTTTTATTTTTTTGCATATTTAGGTTGCATACAGTAGTGTATATTTTTGGTTCTAGGAATGAAACAGGTGAATGTGACTTTGGGGTATTTCGTAGACTCACAGACATGTGTCCACTAGCTGATCCAGCTCTGGACAGCTGCACTCATACAGGTCTCTGCAGCTTGCATGGCTCTGGTTCATCAGCTCCCCCAGCAGCTGGATCGCCCTGGCAGGTGCCTCATTGCAAACGTCCTTAAATGCCAGCACTCGTGCAGCTTCACTGTATACATGCTTCGCACGCTGGTAGAGCCTGAAGCTTGTAACTGCAAGAGAAAACAAGCTCTTCAAAGCAGACACCAGCAATGCATAATTATTAATATAAGTGGCAGATAGTTCTAGATACTATAGTTCTAGATATGATATAGATATTCCTTACACTTATATAGCTTTTTTCTGGACACTCCACTCAAAGCGCTTTACAGGTAATGGGGACTCCCCTCCAACACCACCAATGTGCAGTCCCACCTGGATGATACGACGGCAGCCATAGTGCGCCAGAACGCACACCACACATCAGCTATTAGTGGGGAGGAGAACAGAGTAATGAACCCAACACCCTGGGATTTTTAAACACAGAGAGTCAGGATCTTGGTTTTACATTTCATCCGATGGACGGCGCCTTTTTACTGTTCAGTGTCCCTATCACTTTACTTCAGCATAAGGACCCACACAAACCGCAGAGTGAGTGCCCCCTACTGTCCCCACTAAAACCTTTTCCAGCAGCAACCCTAGCTTTCCAAGAGGTCTCCAATCCAGGTACTGGACAGGCTCACACCTGTTTAGCTTCAGTGAGTTGCCAGTTGCAGGCTATAAATATGTCAATTTGATAACAACACATATGTACAGTATAAATCCATGAACCAAAATTTGTCAGAGCACCCATGTTGTAACCACTTTGCACTCTGTCATGTGACCCAGAACAGCTCCAGAAGCACCACTGAATTGCAGGGCCTGCCTGTCAAGCCCAGACTTTGTATCTTAAGACTCTTTGTGTCAGAACGTGTGCCATGTGATTTTTTTACTATAGCTATACTATAACATTTCTGAGATAAACAAGATTTTAAATGCAATTAGATTTATTTAGTTTCTGATTTTGTTTGTTAAAAAATTGTAAATTTTAGCTTCAATCTATCTAATGCAGGGGTCCTAATTATGCACTTTATGAGTCCAGCCTGCTGAAGGCAGGAGAACAGAGCTGTGCTTTGTTTGAATGAACTCTGAACTTACTTGTAATGGGCAGGTGAGAAGCCACACAATTTTCCTATCATAAAATATGCTGGGGACTCATGTCTATAGCGTTTTTCAACTTTCAGAATCCTTTTATAAAGTGAATACTGTTTGTAGTAAACTGCAATAAGGTTAATAAAAGATTAGTTATGACACTACACATCTGTCTAATACTAATATTATTTATTATGCTGCCTCACATGGACCTCTGTCTGACAGATCTGATGGTGCCTAAAATCCCTGAGCCAAACAGCAGTCAGCTTCAATTATGAGGATACTGAAACCATGAGAGAAAGAGCATGTCTGTGTGTGTTTTGGCAATCATTCCT